ATGCAGGGGGAGAACCAAGGTGGAGCCAAAACAAAAAAGAAAAACGGAGGTGACCGTGAAGTGTAGCCACGAGAGCCCCCACTCCGCAAGGATAAACGCCACCCACGTTGAAGAACCCCGTGATCTGGCCCGTGACCACGAGCCCCAGGCCTGCCAGCAGCATCTTGGCGAACTGAATGTTGAACATGAGGTCGAACGGGCCGACGTGGTGCTTGTTCATGAGCTTGTCCTCGTAGGCGCCGGTGCCACCGTCGAAGCAAAGGGACATGAACAGCAGCGTCAACCCGAACAGCTAGATGGAAGGGAAGGGAGGCAGGCAGGCAGGCAGGCAGGCAGGCAGGCAGGCAGGCAGGCAGGCAGAGAGAGATAAGAGAGGGAGTGGGGGAGATGGACAGAGAGAGGGAGGGAGTGCGAGGGAGAGTGGGAGAGAGAGAGAGAGGGAGAGGGAGAGAGGGAGAGGGAGAGAGAGGCGAACAAGGCGCGGCACGATGAACACAGGAGAGGAGGAGGGGGCGTTTGCGGTGGGATGGGTTCGGGAAAGGGTTAAGCAAGCAAGGTTAGGGGAGAGCTCCACCGGGAGGCAAGGGGCATAGCCTAGGGACCGGAACGCGAGACACTTCTCTAGGTGTACCAAGCGAACAGAAGACATTTGCCAGGATAAAAACGGAAGACATAAGCCAGGATCAAAAACAAGCACAAAACAAGATCCAGAACCCGATTATTGCGTGGGTCTTCAGGAACAGAGCGAACGGAGTTTCACACCGACTTACAAACAAGAGCGCTGAGGAAACAACAGCTCCACCAAACGCTTCTTATGCAAATACCAGCAGCAGCAGCAGCAAAATCGACGGAATACAACTGCCGCTACGCCCCGTCCCGTCCTAGCCGTCTGTACCTGCCCTCCACTGCTCCCCCCCGGCTTCCCCGCTCCCGACCCCGACTGCATAAAGAGGGCGACGCCCGCCACGATTAGCGCGACGTTGACGTACTTCTTGAGCGGGTATTTCTTGCCCAGGAAGGCGCCCATGAGCATCACGGGGATGGGTTTGCAGCTCTTGCCGAGCACCTGGAGGGGACGTCAAGGAATGGGCAGATTAGGGTTGGGGAGTGTACAAATAAACACGATTGCCGAAGTCGTTAGAACATCGACCTCGCATCCCTAAAATGCCGGGACGGAGCCAAATGCCGGGTTTGCCGGTCCAGGATGGGGGGGGGGTACCCAGATGGGAGTATTCACACACATGAGGCGCTGGAGCACCTTGGGTTCATGAAGTAGAGAGACCGGATTGACTACCCCAAGCGCCGAGAAAGGCTGCCGTTGCGACAAGAGGTGCGGACGCAGAAGGTGGCGAAGAAGCCACTCTTCTGTTTCCCGTTGGCCAAGCCCTCAACAGCAGTCCGTTGAAGAACTACTCGTTCTCACGTATCTGTTACCACTGCCAACACTTTGTTGTCCTGCTTTGGAGTCTTCGCGACGGTTCAGAGGCAGCAAGACTGCTGTATATACAGATTTGTTCATTTGTTCTTTGTGGTTCGCTGAGGGCCGCTGGGCTCTTCGAGTCAAGAACAAGTCAGCTGTGTGAGCTACTCGAGCTTGGGAAACGTCACTGACGGCAGCTGGCATCTGATGATTCAGACCAACACATGCTTCCACTTGCGTCTTGCAATCATGCCTTGACGGCACTACGACTAGATGCTCTGGTGAGCCTACTCCGGAGGCGCGCCTTGTAGTACACTATCACGAATTGTACAGCCGTCACGATTTTTCTGGAATAATGTATGCATAGCCCGCCCCACCTGCACGGGATAGATGACGTATCGCAGCGACCGGACGGATGTGAAGGTGGAACCCATGGAGGTCATCCCCAGCACCAGCATCTGGGTCCTCGGGATAGTTGTCGGCTCCTGAAAGGGCCGCACGGCACGGCGCAGCATGCATGCACGGGGGGAAAAGCGGCACATGGATATGGATAGGGATGATGTGTGTGAAACGTGGCGACAAAACTGAAGCTGCGCTGCCATGTAACCACTGCAACCCCCCCCCCCAAAAGACATCAAGCTTCCAATAGCACATTCAATTTGTAAACAGCAATGGCTATGGATAGGGAGGACAAGTGTGAAACATGATAACACTGAATCTGCGCTACTGCTGTACACAACGATTGCAACCCGCACCTTTGAATCCCATCTCAACAGGATGCACCATGGTCTAGGAAAGCATTTCTGAGCCACCTTCAGCAATCTAGGATAGAACGATCGGCCATCGGTGATCGGTTCTGTGGGAACAATAATTCGTCCTCTTTAGGAAACGTGGTCGATGGTCTAACCTCACAGGCATGCACAACCCCCCCCCCCCCCCCCCCCCCCCCCCCCCCCCCCCCCC